CTTAGAGATTAGATTTTACCTGGTAATGCCGTTTTTGCTCGATTTCTCGCCTTTGTTTGCGCTTTAATTTAACGGGACCCAAATTTATTATTTTAAATATTTTCTAATGTTAGTATATTAATTATAAATATCAAGGTTTCATAAATTTTGAGTTGGTCCCTATATACTTCTATTTTGTTTCATTTCAACCCCTTAATTGTAATATTTTATTAATTAATATACTTGTGCCTATTATTTTATGTTTATAAATATTGTAGTCTCATATTTATATATATATATATATATTAACTTATAAATATATATTAAGATTTATATATATATATATATATTAACTTATAAATATATATATATATATATATATTGAGTGTGACTGTGTGTGTGAGTGGTTGTTTGTGTTTGTGTCAGAGTCAAAGTGAGAGAGTGAGAGTGTTTGTGTGAGTGCATGTGTCAGAAGAAAAATGTTTTTTTGATAAAATCGTAGTTAGGAAAAGCGAGTTCAGAAGAAAAATGTTTTTTAATAAACTCGTGGTTAGGAACAGCGAATTCAGAAGAAAATTTTTTTTGGATAAAATCGTGGTTTGGAATAGCGAGTTCAGAAGAAAAAAAAATTAATTAAAAATACGTTTTGTAACCACGATTTCTTAATCAAAAGCACTTTTTGTAACCACGATTTTAAGACTTCCCCAATTTCACGCGAGACAGGCGCATATATGTTGAAATCGTGATTGTGAACCACGAGTTAGCTTATTTTAGGAATTCTTTCAAAATTAGGCTTAGTTTGGGAATTGATTTACTATTTTAGCTTATTTAGGGAAATGCCCCTCCATTTCTCCCTCTCTTCTCTAGTCTCTTTATTCTAATATCATGGCTAAAATTTTAGTATAACGACGATAGAATGTAATCATTGATACGTGATATCATCAACCAATCATAACTATTACAATGGAGCATAATCCCGAGTTCGGATCCTCTGTCGGGTTTCTTTGCGAGGCTCCCTCCGATACTTCAAAAA